TTGGAGAGAAAGCTAAAGGAAATCGATAGTTTAGGATTTAAACTTTGGTATTCGGGTAGGAGTCGGTACTAGAAATGGTGTAGGTGTTATTAATAGATAAGAGTTTGAAGGATAATGTTATAAAAATTAATATGATGGAGATAGAAATATCTTTAAAGAAATTTGTTTGTTTTGAATTTTGGATTTAGGATTCTTAATTTTATAAGTTGCTTATGCCTCCTAAAGTAGGTTTGGATAGAGTTTCTAAATTAAAAATTTTGAATGACTTAGAAGAATTATTACAAAAGATACCTTCTAGAAAAAGTTTTATTAGAGGAGATTTTAAAATGGACATGTTTGGTAGAGAGGTAGACTGATTTAAAAGCATTCATGTGGCTATGGTTTTTGGAACACAAATGAAGGTGACAAGACCATATTAGATTTTTGTTAGCTTATGGATTTTCAATTGCTAAATATCTTATTTAAGAAAGGAATGAGCATCTTCATCAACTTATAAAAATTGATAAATACAACTCAGAATTGACTATTTTCTTATAAGAAAATTTAGATCGTTTAGATTGCAAAAGATTTGTAAAGTTATTCGCGTAATGAAAATTTAATGTACGCAACATTGATTATTAGTTTTGGACTTTAAGATAAAAGGGCATATAGTAAAAAATAAGTAAAAAAACGATTTCTAGGATTAGATGGGGGCATTTAAAGAAATATTAACAAAAATATTTTTTGAGAGTAATGATTTTTAGATCTTAAGATTTTATCTGTGCATGAGGATGCTATGTTATGTGGAAAAAAGTGGCTAGTGATATTAAAAGAATATTGTAAAAGATGTGGCTTTGGGTATCAAAGGGAAAAGCTCATAAATGTAAAAAATAGTTTGGTGGTGGAATCCAAATGTGCAAGAAAATGAATTAAGAAATAAAATATTTGTTATAAAATTGGTTTAATTTTAAAAATTCTGAAATTTGGAAAGATATAAAAGAGGCTCGTAAGGAAATCTAAGAAAGCAATATGTGATGGCAAAAACCTTAGCTTTTTAGTGATTTATATAATAGAATTAAGATACTAAGGAGGAGAAAAGAATATATGTATAAGTTTAGCCAAACAAAGAGATAGGAAGTAGTAAGAGTGTATTAAAAGATGAAGATCAATAAAATATCTTTTCTTAAAGATGATATTCACAAAGGTGGATGAGATATTTTGCTAATCTTTTTAATGAAAATTATGAAAAATAAGATTGAACTATAGTGACCTTAGGGCACCCTAATCTGAAAATAAAATTTCTATTTTTATTCAGCGTATAGTAAACGAAGTTAAGAGAGGGCTTTAAAGAAATGAAGGGTGAAAAAGGCCTTGTTGGGAACACTGATGATATTTTTCCAATAGAGAGGTTGGAGTGCTTAGGAGATGAAGCAATTTTCTTGCTTACTAAACTTGTTAATATTTTTTGAAATGACTAAAAAGATGCCCAGATGAGTGGAAAATGAGTGTGTTAATTCCTATTTTTTTGAAACTAGTACAACTATTATATCCTATGTCTAAAAGACATTATAATGCAACTTTAATTTCTGATACCAAATTTGATGGCGGATATTTTGTATTCTCTATAATGAGATGCATAATTCCATAAAATGATGTTAACATACAAAAACTCATCTCTAATTTTGTTAATCTTGGCAACTTTTTGTTTCTTTGGATAAAACAAATATATGAATAAATATCTAAAAATAATGTAATAGCCATATATTAGAAATAATGTGTAGAATTCTTTATGCATAATATCATTAGCTCAATTGAAAATCATGCTACAATTGAAATCAAAATTGTATCAAAGTTGGCAAGAATTAATCATGCATTCAATCCTAATTAATAATTAGAGTAATCAAAGGAAAAGGATTTCGAGAAAATTCCGTAATGGATGCGATAAAGCGTCATGAGACCTATTCGCAAAATGCATAGCAACTTTAATCCACTCTACTACCAAAACCTCTCTGATGTGAAACATACACGTGCACAAGAATGGATTTGGAAATTAATAACAATTTAAACTTTTTACTTTGCTAGTGGAAAACTTAAGCTTCACCAAGTAATGATTTTAGAATTTGTCGTTACAAGATTAAGTAAAAGTAAACGATTACAACGGAGATTAACGAAGTACTTGCAAGCGATTAACAAAAGTAAGTAGATAAACTAATGATGATGAAACAATAATCCACGGTGCAAAATCAAGACGTTTCACCTTGAGTTCCGTCTCCCTTACTTGTAGTGGGTTTAGCGGAGAAAGGGTAGAAGCAAACCGAGTGATGTTACTACAAGACAAGTGAAGCGTAAGGCCTTATTCGTCGGAGAAGTAGCCGAAGGTGGAGAATGGGTGGATCTCCCAATGAGAAGCCAAGGCGTCTTGGGTTTTTGAAGATCAATCGTCTCCACTAAGCAATAGAGAATACAGTTGACGTAGTCTTCCACCGATTTGTCGTACTCCCAATCAGGCTCGTAGAAGGGGGAGCAGAGAATGTGGATTTCTCCTAGGGCGTTGTAAGCGAAGCCGTGATCGACCTCAGGATCGGCCATGCACCAATGATGAGAGGAGGAGGAGTTGCCTTCTTCTCTTGTCTTCCAATGACATGATAGGCGCCGGTTTCAAGAAGGAGAGGAGCAAAGGAAGTATGTGAGCTAAAGAGGGGATAGGGTTTGTGAGAGGTGGATGGAAAATAATTCTGAAATTAATTTCAAATTTTGGGAGGTTTGGGAGGGAATTAAATTTGAAATTTGATTTCAAATTTAATGTGGTCAGGGCTTAATGAAGAAACAACAAGAGCCAAGCCTAAAGAGGGGGCTGGCGGCATGAAGAGGAGGGAGGGTATTGTGAGGAGAGTTTTATGAGTTTCCAAAACAACACATAGGAATTAGGAAAGACATTATGAAATCCAATTTAATTTAAATTTCAAATAGATTTGAATTTATGCAGTTTCCTAATTAAGATTTGCAGTGGAGCTCGGTCGGTAGACGGGTAATGGCCGGCGGGTGTAGAGGGGGAAGATGGGAGGGGAGATAGAAACCACGAGCCACGAAATCTTTCGATGACTAGTGGGTATTGCACTTGCCCTCACTCCGGGCTCTCTCTCTCTCTTCTCTCGAGCACACGCACACAAGAGGAAGAAGACAAAAATCAAATTTTATTCAAAATAATCATCATCCTTTTACAAAGCTTAAGGCCACTATATATAGGCATCCAACATAAATAAAAGCAAAGTAAACAAATGCCCTTAAGGCTACAATAAGAAAACACTCTCCACAGGGGTAAACTCGAAAAAACTAAAGATAAAATAAATAAAACGCATCAAAAGTAAAGACTCTGAATCTTAGCCGTCAATCTACGATTTCTTCGGTCGGAATCTCTTAGCGATGTCCTCATCACTCTTCTTGTTAGATTAACGATTTCAAAGCAGCATGCTGTGTTCCACCACTTAAAACAAATTCCCGAAGCAGAAAATAAGGACTGTAACTGGATAAGCCCAAAACATCCTTCCTCTTCCAACGCCTAGTCAAATTGAGAGGAAAATATTCTTCTAAAACAATTGCAGAAGTTCCAAAATCCACCTCTTAACAGAGCCGTGGTACTCCCTCCCAGCCACCAAGTTCCAAAAGCCACTGCAAAAATAATCCCACATCAATATGTTTATATGATCAAGCGTAATTATTCTTTCTGATATCATTTCCCTTCTAGACTTCTGTTGTTCCTTATTCTTACTAAATGCTCAATAGAAAATAAAAAAAAAAACTATGAAAATTGATGAAACACAATTCTTTAATTGATATTATTTATTACATGAAAGTGAAGATCGTCTCATCCTTTGAAGACGATAGAAGATAGAATGCAGAAAAAACTTAGGAGAAGGCTTCTGCGTGTGTGAGCACCAATAATCTCAATAAAAGGCATACTTAATTCATGGAGTTATGCCAATATAGGTTTTGGAGAGAAATTGATGTATGCTGCCAATTTAACAACTACATTTGTAGAAAGGTTGTTTTTGTGACTTGTAATTGTTACCTTAAATTACATTAGAGACAATTTAACAACTGTTCCAGGCCTTCTCTCAAGCACCAACAATTATTACAAATGCAACTGTGCAAAAGCTCATACTGAAATGTCAGATAGCAAAGTGGCGATATGGAGATAGTTAAAATGTTAAAGTTGTGAATGACATATAATTACAACTAATGAGCCCATAGAATTGTAAAAGTAATATAGAATAACGTTTTATTTATTTATGCTTAGCTATAAACAAGAGCTTTGTTTATTAAAGCAAGGATAGCTAACTACATTTTGCGTGTGCATCGAGGAACAAAATGAGCGAAAGGGGTTACAGACCACTATACTATTATCCATTGGCCTTAGCATTTGTGCATGATTTTCCCTTACCTGTTGCAGCTACCACATCGCCTAGACATGATCAAGAAACATAGGAAGAAGAAATGATTTGAAAAGGGGTAGTTTGGGAATTAGAGGAGTATGAGGGCAGGAAGGGAGTACACTTCAGGCAGAGTTAAATTCTAGGCACTAGTCACCTTGTCCCTGGCTAACAATCTTGCTCCATGGATGCCCAGAGTGCAAAATGGAGATAAAGTGAATTAGAGACATGAAAAGAACTTTAATGTCTAAATTTCAGAGATCTTGATGCCATCCATCAGGATGCTTTGCGCAAGCATCATCGAAAAAAGTAGCATTTTATGAGGCTTGTAGCTCAGAAGTTGAAATTGAAAAATGATGATGACAATTGGAAATGGTCATAGAGTTAGGGGCTGTTTGGATGCATGATCTAAGAAGGCTTTGTCCAAGATTTAAGTTAAATCTTGCCTAACAAAAAAAAATGCCTCCTTAAATCTCACAGTTAGTTAAATTTCGATTTAGCGTTCTTTTCCATATTTTTGCCTTAAATCCTAGGTTTAGTAAATCCTATAGTTCGGCGAATTTATGAGATTTAGTGGAAGAAGCACGTTAAATGGGTGAAAGATTGTTACTTTCGTGGCAAGCTCCTCATGACTCCCGATCTGTTAAGAAGAATGTCGTTGAAGGGAATTTCTTTGCAGGGGGCAAAGAAGCTTCCTTTGTTACGGGACTTTGCGACTCTTTCAAAACTCTACTTCACACAAATCAGGCAAAGTCAAACAACAACGAAGAAATGGAGAAAGGAAAAAGCAAACTCTAGACAGGCCTAAGGCTATAGGAAGAGCATAGACAAAGACCCAAGATATGAGAAATTATTGAAATAGCCCGGCAATGGCGTATAGAAGAATGTTGTCTAGTAACTAATTAATCTAATTAGTTTAATTTATTTAATTAGAAATATAATGTTATTAGTAAATAAATAATTATTTAGATTATTTGATAATTAAATTAGATTCTAATTAAATTATTTATAAATTTTAGTTATTGATGATAATTAAAATTGAATTTAATCATTAACTCATAAATAACTAATAATTTAATCAAATCTAGCTAAAATTTTGATAAGATTTAAATTTAATCCTCCTTAGCATATTATAATTAAAAACACATATTAGATTTACATTTTTAGTTGATTAACTATCTTAAATCTGGTGGTGTTGCCAAACAATTTCATAGGATTTATCAGGATTTAAGATCTTTCTTGCCAAATATTATTCAGGATTTAATAAATCCGGATTTACAAGCGTTATTAAATCCTACTTGAATCCAATCAGCCCCTTAGAGTAAAGGTGGAAGTCTTTTTGGGCTTAGTGGTTGTGAAAATCTCGCTAGGTGCCCATTGCCATATGGAAGTTATTGAGTTGAATCATCTTTTCATTGTTTTAGCTGATATGCTTTGCTGGCCATGCCATGCGGACTATGTATAGATGTATGATGGCATGTGCCAGTCTTATCCCAGTCTCTTATGATGAAGTTCAGGTATTCGAGATGAATGCTTGTCTGAAATATTTTGGACGGATTGTTTACAAGTATTTGTGCTCGTTAGCTTAGTTTCATTTTTTAACTCAGCTATGTTTCTGAAAGTAATTGCCTTTTGACAAACATGCTTGTGAGTGAACTAATGCATTAGGTAGTTTATTTGTAGACTGATATTGGGTGCTCGTTAGCATAGTTTGATTACTAAGTTACAAAATGTAATTGTCTTCTGAGGAAAGCCAAGCATAATCTAAGACTAACATGGACTAATATGTTTTGAGACTAAATATTGGAAAAATAATGAAAAGTAAAGTTTAGGTTATGTGGCCTTATTTAAAATTGTTTCTACTGAACTATGAAAAGTTTGGATTGCAAGCTATTTTTTTGTTTCATTATTACTTTTCTTATCATCATTTTCTCAGTAACCATTCCAACTATTTAAGATCCGATCTATGAATGCTTTGTCTACTTAATTCTTTTTGGTACTGCTGCTGGTGTTATCTTTAATTTTGTTCAAGTTTTGTTTATAATATCCATGTGTTACTTTTGTTCTACCCTTTTTGTGTTTTGCATTTATTCTTTTTATTCATTATATTTAGCATGGCCGCTCTCCTAATTTAAACCCTTTTAATTTATAAAAGAATGCTTTGAGTTTTGTTTCCCTTATTTTGCATATATAGAATGTTTGTAATAGCATGTTGTGTATTTTTTGATGTTTTTTTATCCTTCTTTATATAATTTCTGGAATGACTGTTATGAGCGTTGTATTGATATTTTATTTGACCAGGATCCCGATGATACATTGAAGCGGAAGACTTTTGAGCTACTATATAAGATGACAAAGTCCACCAATGTTGAAGTCATAGTTGATAGGATGATTGATTACATGATTAGCATCAATGATAATCATTATAAAACTGAAATAGCTTCACGTTGTGTTGAGCTTGCCGAACAATTTGCACCAAGCAACCAATGGTTTATCCAGGTGGCCCCAATTGATGTTACGTTATTTCTTGATCTTTTTGGGCTATTGCTGGTTCACTAACAAATTTTGTTTTCCAGACTATGAATAAGGTCTTTGAGCATGCTGGTGATCTTGTAAATGTCAAAGTGGCACACAACCTAATGAGGCTTATTGCTGAAGGGTTTGGAGAAGATGATGAAGGTGCAGATAGCCAATTAAGATCATCAGCTGTATGTATTTCTGATGACTTTTCCTGCCTGTGAATTGACAAATGAACTTGTAATGCATTTTAATATTTCTGCTCTGTAGATTATGATGAAGTATGTGTTGCATGCCCCATAAAGTAGTGAAAATCATATCCTTATTATTTCACAATTAATGTTACTGAGCTGTCAGTTGACAGTTCTTGTTGGTATAAGATGCGTCTAGTGAACTAATGGATTTTGATTGACAAACACTTTAGCATGGAGTTTTTTTGGTCTAAACACTGAACCTAGCTCGTTTAAGTGGTAGCTTTTTTTTTTCACATCCTCATCTACAATAATATATTCCATATTATGTTTACATAATCAATTAAATGATACCCCCAGTAAGTCTTGGTTAACTCATTACCCCAAAACATAGCCAGCTAGCAAGGATTATTTTTCAATTTTGTGAAGTACTTCTAGGCATAAGAAATCAATATATTCATTTTTGCTTCTTTACTTTACCTTCATTTCAGTTCAGTTTTCTAGTAACATTGTTCATCTAAGGAAATGGAAGAAATAATAATGGAGAAGCAAAAGATGAAGAGATAATAAAAGTAACAGAATGGGCAAGCTTTACTCTTCAACAAAAGACATTGCCTCTCTCAAAAGGGTTTCAAGTCTCCCACTTGGTAAATAATCAAAATTTTAAAATAGATGAAGAAAAGTTTCTCTACATTAACAATAAGAATTTTAAAGAATTTTATTCATATCATCAAATGTCTTTATGTAGATCCCAGAATCAACAAACTACTAACAAATATTTAATAAATTACTTAAAAAAAAATTAGCAAACTTAATTACATATACTATACTACAATAGCACTAACAAAATAATGAAATCTAAGAACAAGTTGAACTCAAAGAATTATGTTAAAAAAAGGTCCACATCAATTTCCCTTATTACAAAGCATTCTGCTTCGAAGTTTGGTGTTGATAAAACATTGAAGCAAAAATTTTGATCCTTGAAAGCATCATCAAATGGTGACCTGATCTCTTACAACGGATTAGATAATAATGTCATCTAGAAGGAACACTAGTAATTTTATCTGGAATTAGTAATATAAGATCTGACACCTCGACTGAGCCATTGAGAAGAAATGCCTTTTGGTTTCTCCTTTTTTAGTCTTCAAAATAGGAGGCTTCAACTATTATTCATATTCCTCGAGATGTCTGTAGGATGGAGGAAAAAAAGCCTACTTTATTGTTCAAGAAGCGATAATTTTATGGTTAAATGGTAACCAAAAAGAAATTTGTGGTGGGCTGGGTGGAATTTGAGTTTGATTTCTGTTTATGTTGGATTCATTCTGATTTAATTCTTTTTTTTTGGTTTGTTTGGTTGGCTAAATTTGATTTTTTTTTAAGTTTGTTGCTAGTTTATTTGAGGAAATCAAGAAAGAGGTTTAGGAAATGTGTTAAAGGTTTGTTGGAATTTGAATTCTAATTTGGATTTGAATAGTTCTAAGTATATGGAGATTAGGTAGATTTTGTGTAGGGTTTTTGGAGGGGAAAGAAGACGCCAGAGGAAAAGAAGACTTATGGGTGTGTGGTTCATTGTTTGAAGTGAATAAATTTTTTTTCTGTTTACGATGAACAATGATTTAATTTTTCATTACAAGTAAGTAATAAGCTTGGCAAAAGTGAATTTTAATAAGTATGAAGTAATTGGTATTGATAATGAAAGGATTGAACACCTCAATGGAAATTGCTTTCAAACTAACAATCTTGCATGTAGAATGAATTGAATAATTTGGCTCTAATATTAATTTGATGCTGGACGGGCTTGACAAAAAAACTAGAGAAGTTAGTAAAGAATATGAAAAGGGCAACAAGATTAAGAAAAGTGTGGGGATGAGCAAACCTCGTTCTTGAATAAGAAGATTATCTCTCCTGTAACGGTTTTAGTCCTCCCACTTATTCAATGATTAAAATCACATAATATAAGAGGAAAAAGTGACTTTACATCCAGTCTATAAATTTTATTCATAACATAAACTGCCTTACATGACTCATGAAATCCCTTCTTTGTAGATGGAAGAAACAAAATAAAAATCAATAATAAATTATCAACTACAGGTAATTGTTAAAAAAATTCTAATAAGCCTTAATGACTATTTATAATAACCCTAGCAAAATAACTTAAATAGTTATTGATGTGAAACATACATGTTTTCAAGAATTGCAAAAAATTAATATAAGTTGTTAAGTTATGCAAACTATCTAACAATGCTTCACCGAAGATAGAATTCTAGGAATTGTTAGTATTTGATTTCGAGAGGCAAAGAATTTTAATTAAAATACATAATATTAAGATAATTCAAAGGTAGCAACACTTATGGCAATAACAATGAATCCACCTCCTAACAATTAGAAAATTCGCCTAGGAGTTTCCCTCACATTCGCTCACTTGGAGTGGACTTAACGGAAAAAAAAAAGATTTTAGACAATAAAATTGATGCCACTGGCACTAATAAACAGAAGGCGTCGAGAGTAATGGCCAACAGATAGTTACTCGGATTCGTAGGATTCAATGGGCGGCGAACAATTAACCACTGGTTGTTGGAGAAGCATTCCCTAATGGCGGTGGCCAGTTGGAAGAGAACTCTATCCACGTATTCTTCCACGAAATTTCCGAGCTCCAAATCTAGGTTGGTGAACGAAGATTGTTGAATGTTGATGAGACCCTCTTGATCGTAAACGAGCCCGGGGTCAAGCTCGGGACTCGTCTCATGCTTAATGGAGAGAGGAGGATTAATTTGAATTCAAATTAACCCAAATTTGGGCTAGGGGGAAGGGGCGGCAGCTATGGGAGAATTAAGAGAGAAATTAATTGATGCTTATGTGGCAAGTGGAGAGAGAAAGGGAGGAGAGAGGGGCCGGCCAAACAAAAGGGGGGGATTAAGGATTTACTAATTAATTTTGGACCCCATAGGATTAACTCTTGATTTAAATCAAATCTGAAATTAATTCAAATTTTTGATTTATTTGGAGAGTTTCCTAATTGAATTTGCATAATATGGAAAGAGTTTTGAAT